AAGGAAGGAAGGAAGGAAGGAAGGAAGGAAGGAAGGAAGGAAGGAAGGAAGGAAGGAAGGAAGGAAGGAAGGAAGGAGAAAAAAAACCTTGGCTCCCCATCTCTGTGCCCAACTCCACAGAACATTAAGTTAGTCACTTGTCCTCGCCTAGGGTAGACTGCAATGTCCAGGACTCAGTTTTCTCCTTGGTAGCATGAGAAAGACACCAGGTGACCTAGAAGGTCACTACTGCCAACCCAAGACTCATGACTTCCTGATTCAGAAGACCAAGGAAGTCTGACGGTGTCCAGCTCAGGGAATCGCATTCTCTGCTGGGGAGGAGCCCCAGACTGGAAGAGCCAGAGCAGTCACCAGGCCACAGCCCTGGGAGACGAGAGGAAGTGAGTCCCATCTGGGCGCTGGGAGGTTCTGCCTGACTTTTACCAAGTGTTCAGTTCCTATGTGTGAGAAAAACCCAGATCTGGGGGGGCTCAGACACTGTCTTCCCCAGATCTGTTCCTCTCTTCTCTCTCTCTCTCTCTCTCTCTCTCTCTCTCTCTCTCTCTCTCTCTCTCTCCTTCCCTCCAACCTAATGCCCTCTACTCTGGATTAAATCAAAATTCTTGTGCAGGCCAAGTGTGCACACACCACTGAGAAATACGGCCAGCTCTAGAGAGAGTTCTCTTTGTGGGCGTGCATGTAGGTATATGTTTGGGTGTCTCTCGCTCTGTTCAGTCGGCTTCGAACACAAAGCCCTCGAAAGAAAGCCAACCCCGACACTCCTCCCAGCCGGGACAGAAGGCAGGCGGCCGTCCTGTGTGCCCTCCCCACCCGGCTTCTCACCTGGGGATTGTCCATGTACCAGAGGAGGCGGTTGGCCTGGGTGTCCAGGATAAAGTATCTCCGAAGGAACTTGCCACTGTTCTCATTGTCCTCGATATCCAAAAACCCACAGATTCGGTTCTGCCGATCCACATAAGGCATTCCTGGGCTCTGCTCACATCACCCTGCACAACACAGGGGAGAGGCGGGTGAGGAGGAGATAAAGCGGGCACTGAGGGCCTGGATGTATCTTACCTGTCCCTGGTTTGACTCACCTTGGTGACATGCTGGCTGGCCCCTAGCCACCGGCTTCCCTTTATAGGCACCAAACATCCACCCCACTAAACTTCCACCAACTCTGAACTGTCATCTCTGATGGCTGTTAATGAAACCCATTAGAACTGACTCAGCTAATGTTCCTGAGGCCCTACTGTGTGCTGTGCATAGTCGGACACTCTGCATCCCTGGAGGATAGCAGCTTGGTTATGCACACATGTGTGCGTGCATCCAGAGCCTCAATTTAGTCAGTATTCTTCCTGTGCTGTCAGTAATCAGTTTCCACATCTGTGAAGTGGGAATAATCCTGGTAGCACACCTCATAGGATTTCTGGCTGTGAGTTCAGTTGGAGGTATACAAGAAGCCCTTCCTGGACATCAGTCACACTACACAAAACTTCAGGAAGTGGATGGCAACTCGTTTTACGCGTGGAGACACTCTCGAGGAAGATACCGCAACAAAACTTGGCCAGGAATTTAGGTATAATAAAAGAGTACCCAGTGATTAAATGCCACTGTGATGGGCTCCTGGAGCCTCTTGGCAGGGTCACATGCCCCTTGGCCCTCTTCAATGCTGGTGTCTCTGTGCTAGAGTGACTCGACTATGCCCTGTAAGAATTCGTATGCCAAAGCCCTCACCTCCATTAACTCAAAATATGTCGGGATTTGGAAACAGGGTTTTGGCTCTGTGTTTGTTTCATTTTTGTTTTGAAATAGGGTCTCACTCTGTATAGCCCAGGCTATCCAGGCTATCCTCAAACTCTCTATTCTGATGCCTCAGCCTGCTAAGTACTGAGGTTATATGTATGTGCAACCATGCCCAGCTACAGACAGGGTCTTTAAAGAAGCATTTAGTATGTCATAAGGGGGCCTGGTCCATTACGATATCATATCTTTGAGATGACACTTGGAACCCACGGGTCCCAGAAATAAGACGACAAAAGACCTAGGGAGAAGATAGCCACCTAGTGAAGGAAAAAGGCCTGACACATCCCTTCATCTTCTACTTCTGGCCTCCAGATGGTGAGAAAATAAATTTCCATTGTCTAAGCTCTCGGGCTGTGGTACTTTGCCATGACAACCTGAGCTGAGACTCCTACAGCTACCAAATGCCTACAGATTTGATTTGGCAGATCAGCATCACGCATTCGTGGGCCCTGCTCATATCACCCTGCATGGGAGGCAGTAGGGGGCTAATGAGGAAGAGGGTGAAGCAAGCGTTATCTCAGGACCTGGGATAAGCCTCACCTGGCTTGACTCATCGTCTCAGTTACGTGCTAAGAACGAACAGAAAGTAACAATAGTGAGTCCCAAGCCTGAGCACCTTCCCTGACTCCAGACCAGGGCCTCTGGCAATGTGAGAACAGACATATGTCCTGGCCACTTCATCTCTCCAGAATGTACTCTAAGAGACTACAGGAAAGAGTGACAGTCCCCAAGCCCCCAGAGGGGGGAAACAGCCAAGACACCTGGTCTAGACTTAAGCTTGTGAGAAAGCCCTACAGAGCCACGAAGTACCACATTGCCTTCAGATCATCCCCAAAGCCAGATAACATCCAACCACTGAGCCCTGACTACCTCAACAGAGCAGGATTCACAATGGCCCCAAGCCAGAGGCCCTGAAGCCCAGCAGAAGTATGAGATGGCTCATGAAGGGACCCTATGAGCCAACACTGGCTCAGAGAAACTACTACCCTAGCTTTCCAAGCCCAGAGGGGACAAGTCCCACGAGGACACACTTCCCGGTAAGGCTTGCTCTCCAAGTGGTGGCTTGTGGGATGGTGTGTTCTCTCTCTCCCACTCCAATGAGCCTTCAGAACCGAGAGGGTCCACCAAGAAACAAGTGCCACCTACATCCACACGTGCACACACAGATACCAGTGAACCCCAGGGTCCGGGCATGTGCTGGCCCGATTCCCAAGAAGGACGACAGAGCTGCAGCCACCCAGAGATCCCCATGGCTACTCTTAAGGGGTGCAGGGTCAGAAGAATAAAGTAAGCAGGAGAAATAGCCAAGACGGAACAACACGGCGCAGCTTAAAAGGAAGCAGAAAAGGACGGGAGAAAGGGATAAAAAACTAGCAAGAGCAGGCTTTGAAAAGGAAGCTAACTGTATAGCAGAAGTGAAGGCCACGGAAGGGTGGAGGAGGGCCCCTCCCCCCAACAAGGTGACGTCACCTACTTAGAGGTGTTATCCAGCTCAGGTCTCGAAGCGAAGCAAGTCTGAGTTCAGAGAAATGCAAAAGCGAAGGGTTAAGAGATGCTTTCGGGAGTCATCCAGCACACCCTGGGTCACGGATAGAAGGACAGACAGACAGTGAATGCCTTGGGGGAAAATACATGGCCTGTTCAAGGAGCAGGGGCCTTGAGTAGAAAGACAAAGCCACCGTGCATGGAAAGGTACAGAACTTTCAGGTGAGGATGCGGGGGAGACACCAATCCACCCACCCACTCTCCAGAAAACTAGGCAAATTCCCTGGGTGCCAACACAGCTCCAGAAGCAGAAGCTCCAGAGGTCACAGGACTCTGGCTACTGCAGGGAAAATCTCTCCCCACTTCTATCTGAACGGGGGTTGGGGGGGGGGGGTGTCACTGTTCAGCCCAGGCCGGCCTCTAACTCCTGGTGGTACTTCTGCCTCAGCCTCCCAAGTGCTAGGATTACACGCCTGTGCCACCATGCCTGGTGTCAACATGGAAGAGAACACGTTCAGCCGATCGGGAGACCAAAGCTGACTGGCTCCGGGCCAGCTGGTCAGCCCAGGGTCCAGGAAGGCTAGCTTTCGGAGTTCCCCTTTTCACCTGCAGGATTTACCAATGTCTGCTTCCCCCTCAAGACAGCGCGGCTGGAGAAGGGCCTCTTTCTCCAGAACTCTACTTCCGCTGTGGGACTTCCCAGGCGCATGGATGGACAGTGTGGGACGTCCATGTACCAAAAGGGAAGGTCTGAGGCAGAGCTCTGCTTCCAACATCCAGACTGAACTGTGTGCATGTATGGGGGGGGGGGGGAGGTCCTCGGATGGCCTAACAGCTGAGTCACACAGCTCATCAAGACTGTGGGAGGGAGGTGGCAGATCTGCAGGAGAAGGGCACAATATGGAAATGTTTCTAGGACTCTTCCACTGGCTCCACAACACTGTTGTTAATGGTTTCAGCACATCCGGGCATTGGTAGCAATATGCCTTACTTAATCATACCTCTATCACTAAACAACTAAGGCTAGAGAGCCAGGTTTTTTGCTATTATAAATAATACCAAAACTTCATATTTGGTGCATTTTTTTCCTGGACATGGAAAAGAGCATATGTTAATAATGTGGGGAATAGAGAAGGGGGTCTATGGTTCAGAGCACTGGCTGCTCTTGTACAGGGCCTGGGTTCAGTTCCCAACACAAACATGGCAGCTCACAACTGTCTGGACATGAGCGCCACACAGTGCATATGTACATACATACATACACACATACATGCATACAAGCAAAACACATGCCCTTTTTTTGGTTTTTTGAGACAGGATTTCTCTGCGTAGTTTTGGTGCCTTTCCTGGATCTCACTCTGTAGATCAGGCTGGCCTCGAACTCAAAGAGATCCACCTGGCTCTGCCTCCCGAGTGCTGGGATTAAAGGCACACACCACCACCGGCTGGTGCAAAACACATTTTAATACATATAAAGTAAAAACAATAAATCTTTTTTTTTAAGGTATGTGATGAGAACCTAGGCTATATGATCTTTATCATTATTGAGACCTATTATAAAATTACTTTCTAAAAATACTTGTTGCAACTAATCGTTAATTCACTCTTCACCATCGTTAGATCTTTTTCTAGACAAAGGCTCACTATATAGCCTTGGCTGGGCTGAAACTCACTATAAAAACCATGCTAGTATGGAATTCACAGAGATTCCCTGGGCCTCTGCTGGGATTGAAGGCCTACATGGCCATGTCTGGCTATGCTCTTACATGCACTGAAGTTCTCCTATTTGAAACTGTTCCTAGTTTAAAATTTATAATGATGACTGGTGAAAGGTGAATGTTCAAATGTGTTTCATGTATTTTAAACTTGTGCGCACACACACACACACACACACACACACAAACACGTCTCAGCCTCCAGGGCAGCAGGCCTCGCTAAGCAGGAAGCTTCGTGATGATCCAGATGCCCTTTGTAGAATTTAAGTTGTAAGCATTGCTATAAATGAAAATAAGTTATATTTCCTTTAAGGTGAGATGTGGCACATGCCTTTGACCAAGGAGTTGGGAAGCAGAGGCAGGAAAATCTGTGAGTACAAGGCCAGCCTGGTCTATGTAGTGAGTTCCAGGCCAGCCAGGGATCCACAGTGAAACCCTGAATTTACCACCCCCTCAAAAAAGTGAAACTTGCCGGGCGTTGGTGGCGCACGCCTTTAATCCCAGCACTCGGGAGGCAGAGGCAGGCGGATCTCTGTGAGTTCGAGGCCAGCCTGGGCTACCAAGTGAGCTCCAGGAAAGGCGCAAAGCTACACAGAGAAACCCTGTCTCGAAAAACCAAAAAAAAAAAAAAAAAAAAAGTGAAACTTAGAGAAAGTTAATTGACTGAGATTACCTAATAACCAGCAGCAGGAAGTGGGCTAACTGACCATTCAACTGGAATTCCTGACCAGCATTTACTAGGTAATGGGAAACACTTAGGATGGTCTAAGGCTGCCCCCTTTTATCCATTTTATTCTGTAATAAGAGGCCCTCAGGGCTCCTATCCCCAAATCGCTCTTCACCCACTGGATATGCAAACCCAGAAATTGTGAACTTTAATAGGCCCATATCCTATAAGAGACGGAGCCTGTAGACCACACACCAGATGGAAGACAGGGAGGCACCAGGGAGGCTAAACCATAAAGAGACCTCTGCTCCAGACAGGTGTCATTCCCTGGGCA